TGTGTGTGTGTGTGTTTTCTTCTGTGTGTACACATACCTCTGTGTGCTTGTGTACATTTGCAGGCATAAACACTGCACATGTTGTTTAAAAGGCTTCTATAACGTAACACACACACACACACACACACACAGGGCCTTCCTGCCAACACCAGGCCTGCACTGATTGGCTGCTGTGGATGATTGGCGACGTCGTGCCCCCACCTCAGGGAGTTTGAGCCCAGCCGTGTTTACTAAGATTAGCCCACTGTACAGTACAGCACATGGTTGACAGCACACTCATTACAACACAGACACACACAGCAAAGAGTCAAGATTCAAAGCTGCAGTGGACACAAATGTACAGGAGCTCAGCTTCACATTCATGAATTTGTGTTTCACTCTACGGTTTATAGTAAACAATAATATTGATATAAATCCATTCCTAACGTCCTCTACTTCCCTAACCCCAGTATTCTTCAGTGTGACCCTCCCTTAGAATAAAGGTCACGTTTCAAAATAGTTTATTCCTAATGCTGAGCACTGATAAATGTTTGCTGACATTAGCAGTAGTTTGGCAGAGGGCGCGGCCATGTCCGTGTAGCAGGAATTATTATTTCTGTAAAGTCCAATTTTGAAAGCCTGATCACACACAAATCTGTGTCTGTTTGACAAACTCCATCTTCTGTTTTCCTCACTGTGGCTTCATTCTGAGACACTTTTTGGTGTAGAAGTGAAAGCAGTGATAAAAAAAAAAAAGAAGATACATTCAAGAGTAAGTAAATGGACGGATAAAACTGGCCTCATGAGTTAAACACCAGTCACCATTTGAAATAATTGTGTCTCTATTGCAACCTTTTGACTTATTTTTTAGATTATATATTTTAAAAAAACATTGGAAAACATTCCTTTGACCTTTAGTTGGAGATTAGACTTTACACATTTGTAATATATTATTATTCAGTAACTGTTAGTCTTTATTCATTATTTTTCATCCTATTTGCCTCCTAACCTGTAAAGCACTTTAATTCTAAATCTTTTTTACATACTGTTGCATAAAACAGACAGAGCTGTGGTTGAACAAAAAACAACGTTTCTACACAGAAGTTAAAGGAAGTTTCATAACCAAATTCTGGACCAAAGTCACCAAAGCAGTGAAACACAACTTCCTGGAGCTTCTCTCTTCCAGAACTGTTTATCCCAAATGGTCGATGTTAAGGTCTTTAAAGATTTTTTTTTTAGAAAATGTCCTTTTTCCTCCAGTATTTGTGAACATGATCCCCACAGGAGGAGGAGTTTGTTTACAGGTTTCTTTGGTTCTCTCTGTTTTTCCACACAAACATGTTCTCTCTGTTCTGATTGGTTCGGTTCTGTTTTGTTCTGTCACTCTGCTGAAGGACGGTAACAAACGCAGACGGGAGGGAAGTCGCACTGACTCATCTCAAAGACAGATGATAACAGGAGACGTCCAGGTGTGTGGGCGGGCATGAAGATGATGGAGACAGGGGAATGATGTGAACCCGCATTTGTCGCTCGGTCGAAGAACAAAGATGATAGTAGTGGAAGGAGGTGCAGAGGAGGAAGGAGGCGCACACACCAGATTCAATTCAAGGCACAGACTGGGAGGAAATCAGACTGCAGACACCAGGGGTCAACACTAGAGAAACGACCCGTACCATTTATTTATCAGCCCACCTCAGAGCAGCATGTGTGTGACCTTTGACCTCCCTCTGATAACCTTCTCTACTCCTAATGTGACTGCCTGTCATCTGGAGAGTCTCCATCAACCCCAGTCAGACACAGGACAGCAGAGTCTTTGTCAGACTGACGTCCACATTGGCGAGACAGACAGACAGACCAAATAAAAGGAACAAAGAACCGATCCAGACACTGATACTCACTGCTACATCAAAACAACCTGCGGGCCGGGGCACAGATGAAAGAAGAGATAAGGAAGCAGAAGGAAGCAGGACAGAACAGAAGGAATTGTCATCGGTGCAGTTTAAGTATTAATTATCTATCACCTTTATTGATTGGTTAACTGGTTAATTAATCAGTAAACGGTAGAAAATCAAAAAGGGAATGTCAGGATTTTTTTTAGATGAAAACAAACCTAAACTTTGTCTATTTGTGATGTAAACAATGTGAACAGAGCCGACTTTATGGAACAGGAGATACTGCAGTACTATTACTGTGAATGGGTATTTCACCACAGTAAAATCCTCAGGTATTTGTCTGAAGTGCAGTGAACTATTCATTATGCCCTGCTCAAAACCAGGAACCTTCAAAGACAAAGGAAACGACCGGGGTCAAATTCCCCATTCATCTTTCAAAACAAAGGTTGGAGACTGAAACGTCCTGGTTTAAATGGTAACTGGTTTAAAAACAAGTTGTGGTAATAGAGATGGACAACTAAAAACTAACAAATTAATTTACAAAATAACTAATATTTTCAATTGGAAATATAAACGGCCTGAACCTGTGAGAACACGTCATTTAGTTTTTGGAGCCAATTTTTTTTCGAACATACGTTCTGTGTCAGAAAAGAGGAGAGGGTGCTAACACCCACAAGTTGAAGCTAACATGTTGTTAGCCTTAAATTCCTGTACAGCCAAACATGCCTAGTACAAAGAGGCTAACAAAAGGACAACAACCTTTTTTTTTAAAGATAGCGTTACCAAAATCACAATATGCTACGTTAGCAGCCTGCTACAGGCTAACTGCCTAAAGCAGCAATTACTGTTACATCTGATGTTTGGATGTTCCAATAGTTTCCTGTCCCTAATGAGTTTGACCATTCCGTGGGCAGACACAGGAGACAGAGACGAGACTGAACTATTACACGAGCTTTTATTCCTCAGAAAGTTAACTGCACAGGAACCTATCTGGATCCGATTGAAGGTATTGACAGAAATCGGTACAGGCAAGTCACACGTATAGGTGCGTCTTTAATTAAGGTAAAATCCCCACATTCTGAAGTCAAGCATCGTCATAAATGCTAATGTCCATTAGCACGTCTTCTGTCATCAGCCCCTGTTCTCTCTCTCTCTCTCTCTCCTCTGCTGGTTGGGATGGCGAGCAGTGACAATGTTAACATTGAGGAGCTCAGGCGTCCATATGCTATCAAGTGATAAAGCAGCCAGCGCGTGGGAGAAACACACACATACCACCACTGACTTCCATTTCCTGTCTCTCACCCACCAGGTCTAACTAATGCAGCAGATGACCACAGAGATATGTGTGTGTGTGTGTTTGTAGACACAGTGAGAATGTCCCTCAATAGAATGGACGTCTTTTTTTATACAGCGTCACGTGCAGACACAGGCTGATGTTCAATAAAACGACTGTTGATGGACAAACACAACCACACAGAGAAGCACAGTCATATCATTGTGTCATTGTGATGCGTATTTACTATACTTCCACTTCTGGATTTCACTGCGGGTAAAGTGTTCTTTGGATAAAACACTTTCACTCTCTCTTTGCTTAAGATTTTCTCTTGGTTTAATTTGACTAATATTTGTGCTTTTTCTCATCTCATCACTGTCAACAAAACCCAAAAAAACTCTAAACTGAATCTGCTTTGCTGTATGGTGGAATTTGGTGGAAGATTAAGTCCCTAAATGAAGATTATACCAACATCAGAAGTGAAGAATGTCGTTTTTGACAGGAGTTTCATTTCAAATTCCATTGGAGAATTGAATGAATTATTAATATATAAAAAACAGAGAAGTTGTCACGAGTGTCAACGCTGAAGGCAGCCATGTTACTTGTTACCACTACGTTTTCACATTAACCTGAACCAACACGATATATTTTCAGTTTCAGTAGTAAATGTAGTTAACTGTGTTCTCGTACACACTGGGACATGAATGGTCATATTTAACCATCGACTAACTTCATTAGTAGTTCAACTGTACAGGGGTATAAGAAAATATCATTACACTAAAAAATCGTTATATTTTGTTTCACGATATCGTATCGATATGGTATCACCGTATATATATATTTTTTGTCAATAATTAACGGACAAATATTCATGGTGTTCCATTGTAGCAGCCTGATGTTTAGCACGTAGCAGCATCGTATGTTTACTTTGTTGACAGCTTTCCTAATCGTGCCTACAGTATTGCAGATATCGCAACACATCGTATCGTAGCCCCTGTGTCGTTGTTATACGTATGACATCGCCAGATTCTTGCCCATACACACCCCTACTGTGAACGCAGTATTCATTCCAAACATGAACAACAAAATTCAAAAGCGATGACAGATTTGATACCACAGGTGAATTACTGCCTGATTCAGTTTACCTTTGTCATCAACGAGGGAGGCTTCGGTGTTAAAGCTAAGGAAGACACGGACGACAACAAATTACTACACTAGGTCCTGGATGTTAGGTAACGTTTCCATGACAACATATACTGCCAGGCGAATTATATGAGCTGTAATGTTCAAGTGTGCTGGCACCACAGCAGCATAAAGTGTGCTGTTCTGTCTCAATGACAAAAACCTTCTCTGGATCGTCTGGTCGAACGACTAAAACTAAGGACTGAGTAAAAGCACTGCAGCTTCCAGTTAGAATGAGGATCATTAAGCGTCATATTAAGTGACCACGGCCTATAAAAAAGATACCTGAGACAAAGTCAATATGGGGCCTAAGCCAGGCCTGTGCTGCAGGCCCACTCGACCTATTTTCAGCCCACAGTCGATGCAGGCTGCGTGGAGTGGACTTCATGAATGGGAGTTGGCAGCTGCCACCTCCCGCTGAATGGCTGACAGATGAATGGGGAGTGGGTAGGCTGGTTTAGGAAGGCCGGTCAGAGGGTGAGGGTCAGTACATCCCATCACATCCCATTAGATGACAGCAGCGTCCCCCACCCCCAAACCCTCCCAGGAGGTCAGCTGACCAGACCTGAGTCCCAGAAGGCTGTTAAATGGATTATCTGAAAAGCTCCTTCAAACAGAGGAAAACACCCCAGCAGCACTTCATCCACTGTCTCTGAGCGTGATCAACACCTAAACACACCGCTGTCATCCTCACACAAGGCGGGATTCATCATCAAAACACTGCCCCCTCCTCCACCTCCTCCACCTCCTCATCTCCCTCCTCCTCTTTCTCCTGCTCCTGCTCAGCACCTGAAGGTTTGTTGTTGTCTTCAACAAATGTTGTTGCCTTTCCATCCTCCTCCATCCTCATCATCATCATCATCATCCTCATCATCATCATCATCATTAGCCCTTCACAACACATGCTCCAATCAGAACGAAGCAGACGCACTAACAGAGAAATAAAACGCAGCAGCAGCAGCAGCTCCTCTCTCCTCACCTCAGTGCAGGACTGCTGTCATGACGCTGGTGTCTGTGTGCGGAGCCTGGCGTTGCTGTGGAGATGCTCACTTCCCAGAATCAGACATGTCTCGCCCGCTCCTTCTTTTTCTCTGCCCCCGCTTCACATGAGCTCAGCTCCTCTCGGCTCTGCCTCCATCTCTGACTGTTTGCTCGACGCACTCTGTGCTGTTGCTTCTGTGCTCTTTCAAGCACTGACAAGTCACCTAGTAGCAGAGACAAACGCTACTTCCGGTACAAGCCTTCAGAATAAAGTTTCAGAAATGTTGTAAATTCATGGTTCCTAAAAAGTAAGCGGTTGAGCCAGCAGGAAAGGCCTTTTTAATGGGGGTACAAGAATTATAAAGTTATACTATGACATATTTTGTTTTTCTCTTTTTCGAGGTGTAACGGATTTCCCGCTAAAAATGACCAATAAGTGACAATAGCAAAACCAATAGGATGCAGATGAGCGATTGAAAAACAATAGAGGTACGTGTGTCAGTTGAACATATCTTCAAATAAAACATGTGTGTGTTTCGACTGTACAAGGCAAACATGTTGGTGGAGGTCAGAGCTGTTTGGAGAACAATATTTAAGAATTAATGCGTCTTGGATTATGAGTCACATTGACTCGCGTGAGGCTTTTATTTTGAAGGGCCTTTGTCACTTAGACCCCTTCCCTCTGTGGCTAAACTGAGGACAACTTCCTTCGCTGGGGGGCGTGAATGTGTTCCAGTCATCCACTCAAAAGCCACCATGACTGCCCTTAAAGGAGCCACGCCCTTTTATTGTTGTCATAACTGACCTCTGTCTCTCTATTTTATACACAGATAATGATGATATATAACAAACAAACCACATTTTTACATAACGTGTGACAGTAACAACACTATATGATATGATATGATATAATATAATATAATATAATATAATATAATATAATATAATATAATATAATATAATATAATATAATATAATATAATATATCCAGAAAATTAAGCAAAAGAAAGAAAAGAAAAAATCACAGCAACACAGACCAATGGATTTTCAATTAGTTATGAAAAATGACATCATGAAGAGTCACTACTTCTAATGAGTCATCACTGAACGTTAGTCATCAGCTGTTACACTGTAGACGTGAACAAACTACACTAAACTGATTCACGTTCTTGACTGAAACTTCAGTTAAAAGTGTTAAGACGTTGTCGTTGTTTTTTACTTGAATCACCCATTCATCATCACCCTGATTTCATATCGGTGCATGTGACAGTGCAGAACTGTTTCAACACTGATTCCTGTGTTGAAACAATTCTGCACGTTTTGAGTATTTGACCATTTCCAGAAGGTTTTGACCTGCAAGCACTCATCACGCTGAGTGATGTTTACCCCTCCGTGGAGCAGACTGTGGCACACCTCCACTATAATCCTCACTGAGAGGATTGACTGTGCAGCTCCATGCTGGCTTCTCAGGGCTAAATTAACAACAAAGGCAGGTGGTTGTCAAGTGGGGAGATGATGCTGCAGTGTGGGGTCGGCGACCGACACCAGAGCTGAACATCTGATGAACACATTTATTTACAAAATAAAAACATTAACTCAAACAACAGGAAGTGTTTCTTGATGAACCTGCACGGTTTTCTTTGTTGTGTTTTTTGCTGATAAACATTGTCACACAAACGAATACAGTATGCACTATGTTCAACACCGAGTCACTACAACAGGTCGACAGAGCTGAGCAAACCTGTTTATCATTTCCATCAGAAAATCAATAAATATGAATATTTATAAAAAATCAAATACAGACAAATGTATTTGACGAACTGCTTCGTTTATCCGTCTGCCATTTAGAAACAAAAAAGAGACCTGGACAAAGCAGGATCCTGAGTCTCTCTGTGTGTCCCTCCCCAGAGATCCTGCTTCTTATTGATCCGCATGGGGGGGAGGTGGGGGTGGAGGGGTTGGGATCACTTCATTCTCCTCTCCCTCTCACACACACTACTGTGACTTCAGGCCCCTTTCCTTTGCTGTTTCGTTTCCTCTGAACAAATATCACCCAGTTCCTCCTTGACTCCCTGGTCGCACCTCAGAGAGTCAACGTGTTCAACACGAGGCTCTTCCTCTGACAGCTGACAGACCTGAGTAGCCGCATCTGTCACCTGACACTGCTGTTGCAGAACAGGACTTCCTGTGTGCAGATGGAGGGTTAAAGCCCAACACGACACCACCAAAGTCAAGTGTTTATCCACTGAATTTCAACTTTGGAGGAAAAACACAGCTCAGAGAGGGGGGGAGGGGGTGAGGAAGAGAGATGGAGAGAGAGAAGGAGAGGGAGAGGCATTTTTCAGTTGATTTCTTGTGAAAGCATCTAAAGTGGTTGGGTTGGAGATTGGCCTCATGGGGCTGTTTGAGGATCAATGTGTCAGTGGGCTTTAATAGGAAACTGCCCCTCGCTGTCTCCTGATGACTAAAACACACAGCTGAGGAGCAGAGGAGAGTCACCGCGACGGCTGCGTCAGAAAAAAAAGACGACGCACAGGTGAAGGACAGCCAGGAAGGATTGGAGGAGGAAATGCACAGAATGGCTTTAGTGACAGTGACAGTGTTTCTCAGATGCATTAAATAAACACACAAGTCTTAGCTGGAGCGCCGTACTGTACTTCCTGTGTGTGAAGATACCTCCTGGTGGCTGATTTCATCCCGCAGTGTCACAAGTTAGAGTCTGGCGGCTGAGTCACAGCAACATTCACCGACGACTTTAGTGTGAAGAAATTAGCAGCTGTGATCCTCAGATGAACCTGCTGCTGAAATGAAGGTGTGTGAGTCAGTCGGGATGAGTGACTCACTCTGTGTGCGTGCGTGCATGCGTGCGTGCAGCCAACATTGTCTTGTACCTGAGGTTTACATCTCTTTCTATGAACAAGCAGAGGAGACGATGGCTGATGTCAGCAGTGATGTCATCACAGCGTGGATCTCAGCTGAACAAAGCAGAGTGAACCTCAGCGTCACTGAACACAGCGTGAACGCAAACACGTCACCTAGCTGAATAATCAACGTCAACAGGAAACGCAACGGCCGGTTGGGTTTCGCATAGAAGTGGGTTTAATGCCGACCCGCAGATTCTTAGACCATTAAGACTCAGGCTAAAGTTATAGCTGGTTTTAACACTGATGGTTCGACCGTTCACACTAACATTCACACCTGTGGTCAGTTTAGAGTGAACAATTAACCACACCGCTGTCCATATTTAGAATGTGGAAAACAAACCACAGTGAGAAGTGCCCACAAAATCCATTCAGAAAGAACACCAGTTACCACAGGGGATCGAACCGGTGACCTTCTTGCTGTAAGGCAAGAGCACTAATCACTAGTCCAGCGTGTGGTATTTGTTTATTTTAAATCCTCTCCAAAACAGTTGATATGTTTTTCATTTCATCACTTTTTTTATTGTCCCAGGTGCTGGCAGTTGATACACGTTGGAAATATTCATTGACAACTTGATTTTCCAGTACGATCATTTGAACTGTTACAGATGCAGCGTGAACGTCACACTGAGCCATTGTCTTTGAATGGAAAATGTCTCCGACAACTGGGATGTGAGCAAACATGGTCAAAGCACCAGAGCGGGTTGGTGTGTGTGTGTGTGTGTGTGTGTGGGGGGGGGGTTCTATTGATGGGTGGGTGCATGATCATAACAAAGGCTTGCTCCACCCCCACTCAGCCATTGGCTGATCCATAAACACATGGCTGAGGGGTTCAGTCCAACCGTGGCAGAGCGAATCAGAAAGCAAGGGGCACAATTAGCTTGGATCCACCTGACAGAGGTCTGTTTCCATGGCAACATCCCCAGGGTTGGGGCATGGGGGTGTTGTTGGAGGCGTGGGTGTGAACGCAGGCAGGCAGCGGGGTAGAAATCAGAAATAGAGGCAGGAGATGTTTCTGAAGATGATTTATTAATGAGAGAGGGGAGAGAAACTGAATGGACTGTGAAATAAGACAAATGAATGACACGTTTGGAATAAACACACACACACACACACACACCACACTCACACACTCCTGGTATCTATGCAACAGTCATTGGCAGTTTTATGGCCGGAGCTACTTAGCAACACAGAAGAAAAATCCTGAATGGGGTGTGAGCTCAGTGAATGAGATTTCCACAGTGTCTCAGACGTGAATGGAGAGGACGCAGCTGAATGGGCAGGACGTGTTACCTGCCAAGACCAAGGAGGACTCACATACTGTGAGGAATGTCTCCATAATTCTCCTCTGACAGCACTGATCAGGAGTCTGCAGGAGTGAGGAGCTCTGCTAGAACCTTCTCATTCACAACAGCCAGAAATCTGAGCTGTGACGGAGATGGAAACGCAAGACGTGGATTTGCTGTAAAAAATAATAACTGGTTATAATAATTAGTTTTGACCCAAAGAAAAACACATCAGGTATCAGTTCTTTAGGTACAGCCCGCTTGATGAGAGATTGATTATTGATTGATTTGACTTATCCATATTGACCTGATGATGCCACACCGGCAGCTGCACATCCTCACTGAGAATCTCCATCCTGAGGATAAATAAAGGTCAGCAGAAAAAAACAAAAAACTGAGCTCCTAATCGTCCCTCAATAGAGAAATTCACAGCGTGAGTCTTTGCAACTCACACGGCCGCCATGGGAGGCGCTATTCAGTAAGTTAACAAAGGATTGCAACATTTATGCTTAACATTTACCAAACGATAATTAAGTTGGTTTAGAAAGTAAAGTAGAAAAGTACAAAATGTTTTTTTAATTCATTAGAAAACAGGATCAATTAGGAATAACAGATGTCTGAGGTTCCTGCAAGACGTAGCTAAAGATTACTGACAGAGGGACAAGGTTTTGGTTTGTTGTCTTCAGTGTCCAAAATGTTAAAAAATATTTGCATTCAAGTCTTTCTGGAATGTTCTGGAAACATTACATACAGCGACTGAATAATATTCCTTATGCATTCCAGGTCAATCAATCAACAGACACTTTCCCAACTGTGGCACCCCGAAGGTGGTCCGCCCCCCACTTTGAGAACCACTGCATTAGTGTGAGTGGGTCCACGGCTTCAGACAGTTCAGACAGCTGATGACCGTGTCCCTCATCACTGAAAGTCCCACTCAAACATGACTGGACAAAAACAGAAGAGCCAAAATGCTGAGCCATCAAGAAGTGCAGAAGGG